TGGGGAAGACCGATCCGGTGTTTCGAGGGAACCGTCAAGTTCGGTTTGACGCTTTCAAACACTCAAACTCCAGGCAAGGAAGTGTAAGCCTAAGCACTCTCACAGTCTCGATCATAGGCCGCAGATCAGCTGCATCGTGAGATGTGTCAGTGTGAATTTCCAACTCAGTGACCCGGAAGCATATTGTCAATGTACAGAGTCTGGGCCAAAGACGACGTGACAAAACGCTGTCGGGCGACAGATTGAATTGAAGTGATTGCGGCAGCTTTCGTTCTGAGTTATTCGATAGCGTCGAATACTCTTCTGACAAGGGAAGATCAGAGTTACGACCCGATCGCAAACGCAACGCGCAGAGAGCTCCATCATCAAAATCCTCAAAGATATCATCAAACAAACAAGTTTGTCTCAAGTCTGAGTGTCTGTTACCAACAAGACATTGGGAGAGTAACACAGCGAGCCGAGGATCAAAGACAGTCGTCGGGTCATAGCTTTCACTCAGCGACTCCAGACGGTCCAAGGATCCGGCAGGAAGGTGAGTAAGAAAAGATGGTCACAAAGTATCCTCGGTCATCCTGCCAGCGGCTCACTTCAGCACAAAAATGCCAAAAAAGCTCGTGAGGCTTTCCGTGGCCATTCTGCAGGAATAGCTGGGTGAATGATGATGTGTTCAGGCTCAGCCGCTAAGATCGTCTTCCAAGCACAGGCAATCGAAGTTTGAAATGTCTTGAAAGACCATTCACCAAACAACACAGGTTCACTCGAGACGAGACCTGAACGCCTTCGGATTTCTTCTTGGGCTCGTCCTTGTGCCACACGATCTCCTCTCCTGTATGGACCATCCGACGGCATCACTCGCCGCGCCAAATCCTTCCGAAGATCGATCGATTGTCGAGCTTCTTGTGTGGCAATCCTCTGGAGATCCAGAGTGGTGCGGTCCTCTTCAGCAGGATTTGCAGAGAGCTGTTCAGGAGTACTCCTTTCCGCGTCAAAAAAGTCTGGTGGTCGTTTTCCTGTAGCTATCTGCAGAGGAGAATAGCCCGAGACGGTCAGTCGGCAATTTCTTGCTCAAGCCACCGTCTTGGCTGCTTGACGAACAGTAACCTTCTCTGCGTAACCCTCGTCAGCAGCGCTTTAGCCATGATCGACCATGTGCTCTTGAACAGCCGCGCAGCAGTCTTAGCGATTTGGCCAGGGAGCGCGTGGTCCACAAGGATATGGAGTGTTGCCATGAAGCTTGTAGTAAGCCATGAGCTGATCGGTGAAACGTGCTAGATCTTCACCAATTCCCTTCGAAATCCCTTCGGAACACAGTTGTTCTCTTCGGTCCATTGCCGAAAGGCTGCCAGAGTCTCAGGCGTTTCCAAACTAGTAGGGGCCGTAGCCCACAGGAGATTTGAGGCACCATCAATAATGAGTAAGGCAAGATAAGCCTTCTGTCCAAACTTGATTTCCTCATGGTCAACCAAGATGAGACCACCAATGCAAGATGCCCTAAGTCCTGCGATTCTGGCTCGAGGAGGTGTTGGCACCGAGGTGCTACCGACACGACATGTCGACAATGCGGTCGTACTTGTCGTAGATCTCTCCTGGCAAGCCAAGCATGTTGGTCCTTCGACGAAACTGAGCTGGACTCATGCAGCTCAACACCGTTGCTCAGTTTCTCCAGCATGCGCTGGTACTGAGGAGAGGCCCTTGACACCTCTTGGCCGGGCGATGGAAGCGCGATCCTCCTAGGTTCTAGCGATGAGTCCTCTGGACCTTTCGACAGCTCTGGCCAAGGTTTCTTTCTCTCGTCCTCAGGAAGAGGTTCTCCTGGCTCCGAAGTTTCATACTCAGGAAGATCCAGGTCTTCTCCAGAAGCTGCAGGAGGGTCTGCAGCCCTGTCTGAACCTACCTTAGCACGGGCAGGATCACGGGTCTTGGCCGGCGCCGAGGTTTTACTCTCGATACCGCCAGGAAGAATCCGAAAGATCGTCCTACCTTTCCAAAAGTCTGTGGACTTCGTGGTAGGAAGCTCAGAAACCTCTCCTTCATCTTCTCGAGTATCGATCTTGTTCTTGGAGAACTCCATAATCGTCTGTGCTTGTTATCCAGGTACTCCAATGGAATTGGCATAGTCCCATCCTTGGGTTTGTACTTTGCCTTCCTCATCTGCTTGTGGACACGAACAAGTTCCATGTTGGCTTCGTGAATCACCCACTCATCATCAGTCGCAAAAGCGAGATTCTTGGGTTCCTCTTCCTGTGAAGAACTTCCCGTGGTCTTCTGATGGAAGCCGTACTCGTAACGCAAGAAGTAAGTGAGGAAGCTTGCTTAATTAGGACTACTGAGGTACGCCTGATCATCCGGATGGAGGTCATGACCTTGCTCAACAATGTCGAACTCGGTGGACTGGACTGCGTACTCCCGGTCGTACGTGCAAACCACGAGATTCTGCTTGCGTTTGGTCGATTCAGAGTTGGTAAAGGTGAACTCAGAAGTAGTCTCAGCAATGTCGTACCAGATGCCACAGTCCTTGTCCTGATCGCAGAACATCTGGTCCTGCGCCGATGGCCGAGAAGTCGTCGCCCTTGTGCAACCCAGATCCAGCGCCATCGAAGTCGGTGCCAGGGGCTGCGCGATGAATGCTTCCTTCTCTTCTGTGGTCATGAAAGCAAAGTTCGAGAAGTTGGTGTGGTCAACAAAGCAGGTTGTGGCAGTAACCGTAGTTGTACTGCTCTGGGCAGCATCGGCAAGTTGAGCTGCTCCGTCCTAGGAGCCGGACTTTCCGTCCTTTCCATCTTTTCCGTACTTGCCTTTTCCTTTGCCCTTCTTTGCCTTCGCCATGTAGTCCTCCGACTCGTACCAGGACCAACCATCCCATGAAGAATCTTGCCATTTACTGTCGTACCACCTGTCTGCTGATCGTCGGCAAGGTTTGACTTACCTTTGCGTTTGTTGAAGAAGCGCCTTCCTCCGGATCCTTTGCCACCCTTTTCTTTGCCTTTGCAGCGGCCCTTGAATCCACGCTTCGTGTTCCTTCCTTGGAAACCCCTTTGGAATCATGTGTCGTTCTCGTCGTCGTAGACCCAGAAGGTAACATCATCTGCTTTAAGAAAACCTTCTGTGTCATCCTTTTCATCCTCGACCCAGTTACTGCCTCGCCGACAGTAGCCCTCGTGACTGTCCGGGTAGCCTTCCTCGATCACCAAGAAGGTCTCTCGACCAGGGCGAGGAGAGGATTATCGACGGTAGTTATTGTGGTGCAAAAGACTTCAAGGTAGACCTCACGGAGCTCATTCAGGCGGTAGTCTGCCAGCACGCGGTTCCTATGTGCCATCAAAGATGTCAGAACCTGTCGCTTATCCTGCGTGAGGTCAGACAATGAGACAAAGATGAGGGCCACGAGATGGGCCGTGACCGGAATCGTTATTGCATGCTGGTCTCTGAGCCTTGCGTTGGCTTTGTCCATCGCCTGTTCGTTGGTGAGGCCATCTTGTTCTTCTGGTGGAAGTCCTGCTACGAATGCTCGGACCCTTGCGTTGTCGGGTCCGTGATCAGAAGGTAGGTGTCGTCCAAGCCTCTTGCGTCCTTTGAACAGAGAGTTGAAACCTGGTAATCCAACGAAGCATGTCTCCATTACCGCGGTGCAAGTTCAGGAACTGCTGGAAGCGGTGGAGGAACACATTGGCTGCGCCTTTCACAAAGAGCGGCCGCAGAAAGCTTTTGAAGTACTTCACTCCGTTGTGTGGGTCCTTTAGGCGATCTCTGTCAAGCCTTTTGTGAATCGCAGCTTCACCCTCTAGACGGTTGCGTAACGCTGGTCCTCTCTTGTCGTTATCCAACTCAATATCACACCAGTCATCGATCGCATCTTCGCAGGCGAACCAACTACTTCGCCCGTCATAAAACGCCGATTCTTCTGTGGTCACCTGTTGGAATGCTGAAAGTCGGTGTAAGACTTGGAGATGTCGGTGATATGTCGCGTAAGATTCACTTCCGTGGAAGAGGTCAGAGGCTAGCGGTTAGCCATTGCGTTATCCTGGAATCGAGCCCCAAGAGATTGCTCTTCCGGCTGTGAAGTATTCTGGTTGCCTCCACCAGGATGGGCGTGCCACGGCACCTCCACCTGAGTGAGCTTCCGTTTCCCTGTGAGCTCCGCTACCTCGTTGAGATGTAACCTGGGCGTCGCAGAGCGTGCAGGAACACAGGCAAACATAGGTGTCTCTTTTGCTAGAGGCGCACAGCTGTAGATCAGTACTTTGCTAAAACTTTGAGCGCCTCCCTCCCTCTGTCCCTCCCTCCGTCCCTCCTTCCGTCTCTCCCTCCGTCTCCCTCCGTCTCTCTCCGTCTCTCTCCGTCTCTCCCTCCGTCTCCCTCCGTCTCCCTCCGTCTCTCTCCGTCTCCCTCCGTCTCTCTCCGTCTCTCTCCGTCTCTCTCTCTCTCTCTCTCTCTCTCTCTCTGTCTCCGTCTCCGTCTCCGTCTCCGTCTCCGTCTCCGTCTCCGTCTCCGTCTCCGTCTC